GGGGGGGGGAAGAATTTTCCTAAGGACAGATGTTTCTTGGTCAAATAATGAAAGTATTAAAAGGTATGTTATGTTATGAACGTTATAATCCCTTACGTCAACAGTACGCCTGATACACCCTCTCACACTATGATACAAATACATTTTAACATTTTTTGGATTGCTACGGAAGAGGTATTATAAAGATAAATATAAACGGACATTTCGGAATGCGTCATTTGCATTCAAACTTTTTTTGTTGTACGAAGACATTCTTACGTTTCAAAGAATTGTACAGCACCTTTACCAGAAGGATATACCGATATAGCTTTGAGTAGGTGACAGTATATGTGCCCATTTTTTCAGAATAATGTTTTCTAAATGTTGTTTTAAAACTATTTAGATATATCAGTTTTGTACACTATCTATAAATATCTAAATTAACATGGGAACCAGTTTCAATATTCTTTGTATTGATTTGACAAAATAATGCGTGATGGCAATAAGGAACGACATGTTTGGCCTTTTGCTTTCATGTTCTAATTCTATACTGGGTTGTGCATATGGGGTCTTTACTCTTATATTGAACGTGGAATTCCTTGCATTTTCATATTTAATTTGTTATATCAGGATGTACATATCCCTTTAGTTGAATATATGATATTCATTGTTATTGAATTTATAGCTAGCTATGATCTATGTTTAAATGAATACTAAGCTACTGTTTTTGTTTTCTAATGAATTTTCAAAATAGCATGCGGCTCCGGATCAAAAATACAAGGACAAGAAGAAAAGTAAAAGTGTTCACAAGTCATGAAAAAATTAACATGCTGTATGCAATTTATAACATAATTTGATTGCCTTCCTTGTCAAAATGCTTGTTTTTGCTTTTCAGCTTGGTGTCACACTGGTAGTATTTCTTGTGTTAAAAGAGCAGCATTTAGTAAACATTGATCTCTCGTTACTTTTGTCTCTCTTATTTACCTTTAAACTTATAGATTTCTTATCCATCAAATGTTTTCCTATGTTTCTCTTTAGGTGCAACTTAATTACAAAATGAAGAAAACCATTACATCTGTGCTTTGGATTGGTGCTTAGCAAAAGTTTATCGAATGCAGAGAACAATGAATACAGAATGACTGAAAACCATCGCATACGAAGACAAACACCGGGTCGTGGTGGTAGAAGAGAGAAAATTATTTTACTGAAAAAATTTACTCAATTTAAAGAGTAATAAAGACACAGACGATATATTGGACAAGATTATATAAATCTGTTTGAATATGAAACACAGCAAAAAGCAAAAGCAAATGAAAAATTACACACAATTTAAACTGTGTACTCAATATATTTATTCTGTATGCATATTTTGTTGTAAGTGTTTATGTTTTACTCCTCAAATTTCACTGAAATATAACGAAAGTTATGAACTACGTGTAAGCACTGATGAAACCGACTTTTTTTTCAAAACCATCAATTCCTTATGATTGAAGGGTCATTTTATCATCAATTGATTTTGTTGTCCTCTCCTATTGTCCCAACAACTCGATAGCACATACATCTAATCTATATTTTGTAAATGGTTGGAAGGTTTGTAACTGCTTCGTTTGAAAAAAATGTTTTGTAATGCAAACTTTCAAATTATTCTCCCATTTACCGGATTGCTTTTTCAAACTCTACCTTTCCTCCAGCTGAGAATATCTTTTAAACTGTCGTAGACACTGATAAATGGCTCTGCCAAGAAAACCCCTTATCATTCTTTTCTTTAAAGTATTTACAAAAGCCTTTTAAACAGAAAAAAGTCGCAGGGACTTAAGTCAGGAGAAGAAGACTGATGGTTTATAACGGTTTCAGACGCGAAAAAAGACCACTTTGCAATATTGCTTACCCATATTTGCATGTTAAAACATTCGCCGTTAAACATTGTAATAAAAACAACCGTTCTAATAAGATGAACGAACAAGACGCAATATCATTTACGAAATTCATTTTCCAACCTAAAAATTTAAATACCTACAAGATTATGTTCATCAATTATTTTTGATAGCAACGCTTAATGAGTTTACTGTATGGTCGAACAGCCATTTCTCGATGCCCTTTTGCGTAATTTTCCGGTGGTCTTGTCTATTGTAGATGTTATTTGGGATCTTGTCTATCATATTTGTAATTTTGCTTGAGGGCGATCAATAATAAGTGTACAAACAAACCTGAGCAGCTGGGTACAAAATAACTCAATTTGCATTAAGCTGAACCAATTTTTTTCGCGAAGGTAATACTTTATAATCGCATTCTTTTGGTTACTATTTGGCAAATTAAAGATATATGTGTACATAACAATACAAACATTCACAATTTTATTATTATATCACAAAGACATGGCTATAAGTTTGGATGAACAATTTATATGTTTATACTCGCCGAGCCGCATAACGAATGATCATTATATAAATTCAAATTCAACTGTCCGGTCTTGTCACGTTTGAGACGTTTTTGCGTTAAAATTTCAAAATGCTTTGGGTGATATCTGAAACAATTGTTCATTTCTTTAAATTGGAATTTGATATTATCGCTACAGAATGGAATAATTAACCTTAATCATGTGGTATAATTTAAATATTATGTCTTCAAGGCAATATCAGCACTAAATGCTTTATAATTTGATAAATAAAGTTCAATTTATTAATTAAGCTATATGTGTGCCTTTTGTCAAATGAAAATTGATCAATACTGTGAATTAAGAATGATTTTTCCTTTGATATTTTAGATTCAACAGTGGAAACTGTATTTAAATGGGAGAAACCTAATTATATAATCGCTCTATTGGAGACTCATAAAGTTGTTATTTAACACCGAAACATTAAATAGAAAACTTAAATGCTTTCAAATAGATAAGGATTATCATGAGGTTGAGATAAATTATGATTATTTTCTTTACCAAAAACAGAATATTTTATTTTGAAAAACCAATTTTGATATAGCAATGCACTCCTTCGATAATACTAGTAACAACTATCTCTTAATAAGCGTCACTGATATGTGGAACAGAAATGCGTCAAATGAAAAAGTAAGACACAACCTTTTTACATCAAAATATTATTTAATTGACATGACATTCTTAGAAAAATCTCAAATCCCTGATTTTGTTAAAAAGGTGTTGACGTTAAAGAAGTTATTGAAAAAGAAAACTTTCAAAAGTGAATATACCATATTTTGTCTCATTTAGAGTTACTGCTAAATAAAAATTGGAAACCATAACAATCAAAATGAGTTACGATAGTTATCATTGCAAAAGTGTAGCAAAGACAGTGGCAACAACAACAGCAAAAAATAAAGAACATCAAAACAAGCTGAGCATACCATTTCCACATTAGTATTAATGTAAAACTAAAATGCTCATGTTTTTTTTTATTAATTTTTTTTTGGCCTGGTTTTCTGCACATAACCACACACAACGTTTATTATCGTCTTTGAAATCTAGAAGAGAATTTCAAAAAGAAAGGAATTTTTGGCAAAAACAATACTAGAAAGTAAAAGTTCATATTATACCAGCTTAATGTCCCGTTTAATTCCCATATAGGCCCGTTTTTTTTTTTTGTTATTTCACACATAACTTGTCCCTCTCCTTTCGCCGTCATTGTAACCACTACCTGTTTTGGTTTGGAGCTTTCCGGGTGCCCCTTACTTTGGTGTGTCGGGGGGGGGGGGGCTGCGTCCTGTGAACGTTGCCTTTTCCTTGTTGATCTTTAATCCTTCTTTTTTAGCATCATTCAACACTCAACGTTAAACTAAGTGGAAACAATAATTCCGAAAGACAGGAGGAATATCAAAAATACCGAGAAGATGAAAGAGACAACACTTATAAACGGTCACCTACTGAAGTAATTTGAACTTAATTTGTGATAATGTAAAAGGAGGATTATTGAACGAAACAGTAACACACAGAGAAAATATTAAAACTTCAAACATCGATGATTATGTACAATATTTCTTTCACCTTACGTTGGACCGGTTCGATTCAGATCGATAAAAGGACATAACAACAATACTGAAATAAAGTTCCAGATATTCTGTCACTCATCAACAAAAATCTGAATTTGTGGATAACTACAATATAACATATTACAATTTGATCTCTGAAATTTTAGGAACGGTCTGTGTAAATTTCGGGATATTAGGATGAACTTATTAAGAACTTCTTACTTAACTGTCAAATATAATTTAAATGTTTGCTTAGAATCGTCTTCAAGAAATCTTATAAATATGTATAATTGAATACTTTATTTTTGAAACAAGTGCATTGAGATCATGATATCCGTTAGGAACACAAAACATTTATTTAAGATACCTACGTTAATGAATGCCATTCTTGCATTTGACAAACAGGACTTTGTACTGTTTATTAAATGGGAAAATTTAATATTTTTGCGACAATATAGGTTCTTTAATAAATCAAATATACACTAAACTTCATTTAAAAAAGCGTTTGATATTTTGCTCCAGTACAGTTTGAAACACATATATCTACAAGACAATATTTTGTTAACGAGACTTGTCGTCGATGTAATTTTAACAATACCTTAAGGTAGGGTTATTTCGGAAGACACGAACGCCGAGCCAATAAATATATATACTTTCCTTTATGTGAAAATAGAAATAATGATTTTGAATAACTTGACAATCAAACCTTTATCTGTGTAAAATTGTTGCTTATTACCAGCCATTTTATCACTCAGATCAAGGTAAACCTGATTTCAACTAGTAATTATTACATTAAAAAATGATTAAATATAATAAAAAGTTTAAAATTAGTTTAAAAATGGTTGTCAAGTGTCCAATTATTACTATACAATGATATCGCCTCAATAGCATCGGATTTCATTGAAATTGTATTTTACTGAAATTCGCTCGTTTAGAGGCTATTTTTTCATATAATAACCTCGTGCAGACATATTTACTGCACCTGTTTGTCCTTCAAGACAGATTATAATACTGCTTGATTTAAACATTGCAATTAAGTATGCAGTATTTCATACATTCCTGAATGATAATGCCACCCCAACGTTGAAGTTTATCATAATATAATCAGTTTTGAAAGTTGGCAAATCTTTTAAGTTTTACTGTTGAAAGAATTGTACAACAGTTTTAGCTGTAGGATATTCTCAAATTGCTTAAAGTAAGTGACAGTTTCTTTGAGAACGAAAATTTATTGATACAACTATAATTCGAAATGCTTTATAGCTTAAGAAAAGCGATATTAATTGAGCAGAAATACATTTTTATTGCCGCTTTTCCGATTAAATTGTATTGTTTAAATTATGTTTCTGTGTCCATATTTGTCAGAAATATATATTTTTAATGATGTGAGCATAACATTAAGTAATAACAGTTTCGTACACAGTCTATATACATTTAAAATAATCATTTATAAGATTGAACATGGTACTATATTCTTTGCATTTTCATATTCAATATGTTAGTCCAAATGTAATTATCCCTACAGGTGGTTATGTGATAATTTGTGGTTTGTTTCATTTTACGCCTTTTCCCAACAGTATTTCATTCATATAGGCGAATATATGATAATTAAGGTACTTGTTTATTATAAAAAATAGATAAGTTTTTTTTATACTTTTTATGTTGTTTCGTTTTTGCGTTTTGCTATTGATAATAGAAATCGAATTTGCCAAGTCGCACACAGTTCCTGGTGAAGAAAAAAAACTTGTTTCATATAAAGATAAATATCTTTCTAAAGAACATTTTTTTTTTCAATATTCAGTTTTTTAAGACTGCGTTATATGAACTTAAAAGTTAATTACAGAGAATACATTTTGTACGCTACTCTGGTGTATGTGTTTTTTCTTTGTTTGTTGTTTTCTTCTTTATTCTTGTTGTTTTTATATTTTTTTCCTTTTTAAATTGAGTTATTGATTCCATGAAAATACGGTTTTAAATACAATTCCATAATCAACGCTGAATAGATATCTTTCAAACGTACAATATGTTGTACTCATGCTATTTCAACAGTGCGCGAGCCATATGAAGAAATTTAACTAGATATTCACGATCAGACAGGAACATTCGCATCAATTTATTAAATTCTAGAAACAAACTGTAAATAATGCATTTCAATTAAAAGTCGTTTAAAAGCATACATTTTATTTCGAAAATTTAGATATTAAGTTTCAATTACATGTGTCAACAAGCCAAAGACTGTGCACAAAAGAAACGAGCAGACGCTATCATTTAGGAAAATGCGCAAAGATGTTAAGAAAACTTAAAGTATTCAAGAAATAATTTACATGTTGTAATAACTGATTTGCATCATTTTTGTACTTCATGGCTAACACATGTATGGACTTTTAATAGGATATTTTTTCGTTTGAGTGAAATATGGAATATATTTTCATGAAACATGATAAAATGCCACATATTTTATCTAGTCGGGACGGTATTGAGTGAAAATATATAGCATATTTAACGCAAAAAAAACAAAAAAACTTTTTATTTAATTACATAATCGAAGAAAAGTGTGTTTGCTACGCAACTGCAATTGTACGGCACACAGTAATATATTGATTATTTTATTTGTACGCGCTGTTTGGCGCTATATTGTGACGTCACGTAAACAACTTTTAAACGTCTGTACAGCGTTAATGACTGAATTGAAGATATTGGTGTTCCGATTTATTTTCTTAGTTAGACCATTTGCTATCATTCTAACTAGTTTTCAAAACATAATTCAACAAAAAAATCACTTATCAGATTTTCCAAACAGAATGCCGAAAGACGTCACTTAAAATAAATATGAGTTTTGACTCCACCCACTTTCATATTTATATTGCATATTTATTTTACAAAAATATGAAATATATTTGACTGATATAGCACCATATTTAATGGCTAAAATTCAATAATCATCCATATTCTTATCTATTTTTCGGAGTAGATGCTTTAGGGCCGTTTGAAATAATAAATCACAATGTACTTGCTTTGTTCACCTGAAAATATTTTACTTTTAATTCATTTTAAAAATGGTCATGAAATGTAAAATGAATCTATAGGCATGTTGCTTAAAGAATTTGATCGGCAGCATTCACTACAAGAAACTACCCGAGTAGTGTTGTATAAAGTGTATATTTTCTTTGGTAACATAACTGTGATTTCTTTTCCTTTACAGTCACATTTATTTCTATTTAGATTTCGTACGTCTCTAACTCACTACTAAACATGTAATTAACAATTGTCTGTCAAAACATACCTGTCCGCACGATTGACTTAATTTTCTTGTAAAGTTGTCGCGTAGTTCAACTTAAAATGTGTTTAGACTTTTTAATTAATCTTAACATGATTAAAAGAATACCATATAAAAAAAGCGTTAGACAAGAAAAGAAATAAGGGTAACCGAATTCATAAGTAAATGTTACTTAGAATATTCCCTTTATTTCAGAATAAAAGCTGCGGCAAAGGAAACAAATCCATAAGGAAAAGGCAACCATATAAAATGTGAGGGCGTATTTCAATTTCAATTTTTCTTGGTTTTATTTTAGACAATGAAATGTGTTATATCGATATGAACCTTTGAATTTGGCTTTTTGCTAACATGTTCTTATTCTATATGGGTTTGTGAATCTGTTGTGAACTGTGGATGAATTAAAATATGTGCGCATGAGAAGAGGTTGGACGTTACCGAACATAGATTAGACCCTAATAAGGAATGGGTAAACATCCAACAGTTTTGTACTTACGTAAATATGGGTTGATAACTGTACGACATATATGTGTGATTTTATCTATTGCTTCATTTTTAGCTTCATGCTTCTGAATGAGTAAATTATTTCAAAAAAATTAATATTTTGAAAAGTGTACAAAGGAAAGTAAAGGTATTAAAAATTCAAGAAAAAAAACATGCTGTATGCAATATATGACTGAGTCTTGCCTTCCTTGTCAGAATGCTTGTTTTCGCTTTTTTGGTAGGTGTAACACTTGTTGCCTTGCAGTATTTCATGTGTGAAAGGAGCAGTATTTAGTAAACGTTGCTCTCCCGTTACTATTATTAGACCGAACGTTACTTTTCACTCCCTAAGTGACTTTTTAAACTTACAATTCTAATTCATCAAATGTGTTCGTATATTTCTCTTTAGGTGCAACTTAATTACAAAATGAAGAAAAACATTACATTTTTGCTCCTGATTTGTCTTGTTGGATTGGTGCTTAGCAAAAGTGTATTGAATGCAGAAAACAATGAATTATTAAAAGATTCAGAACATCTTGAAACCCGTCGCATACGAAGAGAAGCGCCGGGTCGTGGTGGTAGAAGGGAGAAAAACATCTTGCCGGGTGGTGGTGGTGGAGGTAGAGGAGGACGGAAAATCATGTTGCTGAGAAAATAAACTCAATTTAACGAGTAAAACGACACAGGCGATGATATATTGGACAAGATTATATAAATCTGCTTGAATATGAAACACAGAAAAAAGCAAATGAAAATTTAAACAATATTTAAACTGTGTACTCAATATATTTAATCTGTTTGCATATTTTGTTATCAGTGTTTATGTTTCACTCCTCAAACTTCACTGTTATAAACTACATATACCAGAACTTTTGTAACACACCATCAATTTCCTTATGAATTGAAAGGGTCAATTAATTCATAAATTCGATTTTGGTTTGCCGCTCATCCTATTGTGTCAAACAACTCCATACTACATACATGCTAATCTAAAATTGCGCTTTTTCTTTACGATTCCCATTAAAATGTTTTGAAGTCGTTTTCCTTTTTAGATTTCCCATTTTATTACATGCTTTTCCGTGGTTTATAGAAATATATCAGTGACATAAAACTGGTAATTTCACTGTTTGTAACAGTAAAATTACCACTTTGATAACTTCACTGTTTTGAATTTGAGCCCATTACGTTGTTTCACTGAAATACCAGCGTGCACAGTACTGGGTACCAACTTAATGACGTGACGTCGTAAATGACGTCACGTTGTATTATAATTTGCCGCACTTTTCATTCAGTATTAGGTTAAATGTCTTTTAAAACATTTCTTTGCATGTAATAAAAAGAAAATTTGTTTAGTTTAGTGTAAGATTTTAATATATTTCACCTTGTGAACACCAAAAGTTCATATTTCACTCGTGGCTGCGCCACTCGTGAAATATACCTTTTGGTGCTCACTCGGTGAAATATATTCCGATCTTACTCTGAACTAAAAAAAACAAATATCCTCTATAGAATTTGTTTTTATTACATACCTGTCCGCTTGACTTATTCTTAAATTTATTGTTTTCGCGTACTTCAAATTAAAGCAGTTTTAAAGGTGTATCCTAAATATCTGGAATGAAAGCAATCCCTCGGACGCATTCAAATTAGCAAAATTACCTGAAAATATCTGACCCGCTTTGATTGAGCCTGTATTTGATTTATAATAAAAATGAAACGTCCCTCACGCCCCTAACCCCTAATTGAGCGGTAGTCAATTCTCAACATTTAAAAGTGCTGGAATCAATGATTGAAAGGGACCATAAGATATAACAACTAATTTTTTAGCTAAAGAGGTAACTAATAGAACGCTGGTGATAATTTTTGGAAGCCCTTTCATGTTATAAATAAGACAAAGAGGAGCACTTGAGATCGTCCTTCACTAGGACCAGAAATACTATGTGTATAATGAATGTTTTCTGTTGTTTTTTTTTCTCAACAATTTCATTCTTAATCTTCTAATTATTAAGTTAACAGTTAAACCATGAAAAGCAGTTGAATATTCTACCCGATAAATAATTCTGGAGTTACGAGATTCATTCAATACGTTATGTAAATGGTTTGAACTATTACTTCTTGGTAAACTCAAGATATATATTTGTACATAACAAACATACATTCATAATTTTAGTATAATATCACAAAGACATGGTTATAAGTGTGGGTGAACAAATTAAGTTTTTTTATTTTCGCGGAGGCGCATAACGAATGATCATTATATAAATTCAAATTCAATTGCCAGGTCTATTACGTCCTGTCTTGTCACGTTTGAGACGTTTTTGTGTTATAATTTCAAAATGCTTTGGGTTATATCTGAAACGATTATTCATTTCGTAAAAATGGGTTTTGAAAATACCGTTGCAAAATGAAAACGTTAACCTCAACCATGTGGTATAATTTGGCTAAGTATGATGTCTCCCGGGCATTATCCGCACTAAATGTTTTATAAATTGGTAAAAAAAGTTCAAATTATTGATTTAGCTTTGTGTGTGCCTTTTTGTCAAAAGAAAATTGATCAATACTGTGAATTAAGAATGATTTTACGTTCGATATTTTAAATTTGACAGTGGAGATTGCATTTAAATGGGAGTAACCTTATTATATAATCCATCTATTGGAGTCTCATCAAGTTGTTATTTAACACCAAGATATGAAATTGAAAATTTAAATGCTTTCAAATAGATTAGGATTATTATGAGGTTGTGATAAATTATGATTATTGTCTGTAACTTTAACAGAATATTTAATTTTGTAAAAATTTGAACAAATATTGTATATTCACTTATCAAAGTATTCTTGTTAAATAACTTCTTTAACGTAAACACTTTTTAACAATATCACTACGATATTTGTCATTTAAAGCCCATTCTAAACAATACAAACGGAAACCAAAACAATTCAAATGAGGAACGATAGTTATCATTGCAAAAGTGTAGCAACGGAAATGGCAAAAACAACAGCAACGACAAAAAAGAATATCAAAACAAGCTAGGCATACTTATTCCTTGGTATTAATGTTAAACTAAAATGCTCATGTTTTATTTATTTATTTTATTTTGGTCTGGTTTTCTGCACATAATCACACACAACGTTTATTATCGTCTTTGAAATCTAGAGGAGATTTACAAAAAGAAAGAAACTTTGGCAAAAACAATAATAGAAAGTAAAAGTCCATATTGCACAGGCTGAATATCCCTTTAATTTCCATACAGGCCCGTTTTGGTTTTTGTTATTTCACACATCGAGTGTCCCTCTCCTTTCGTCACCATTGTGTCCACTACCTGTTTTGGTTTGTGTCTTCCGTGTCTCTACTTGGGTGTGTCGGCGTGGGAGGGGGACTGCGTCCTGTGAACGTTGCCTTTCCTTTGTTGAACTTTTATCTTGGTTTTGTAGCATCATTTAACTCTCAACGTTACAATTATTGGAAACAACAATTTCGAAAGACAGGAGAAATATAAAAAAAGATAAAATGTAAGAGACTTATAAACAGTCACCTATTGAAGTAATATGAACTTAATTTGTGATATTTCGGGAGATTATTGAATGAAACAGTAACACATAAACCTAATATCAAAACTGCAAACATCGATGATAATGTACAATATTTCTTTCACTTCACTTTGGACCGGTTCAATTCTGACCGACAAAAGGACATAACAATAATTCTGAAATAAAGTTCCAGATATACTGTCACTCACCAACAAAAATCTGAATTTGTGACTAACTTCTTTGAAGATCGTTCAGCACGACATTATTGTTGTGCTTGTGGTATTTTTAGTTTCAATTTTTCGGCATTTTCTAGTTGGGTGGTTCCAATATTCCTACTTGAATAATGTTGAATCACCCTTAGGATATGTTGCCTGCTTTTTAAATTTGTCTTTTGACGTCTTATCTGTGATACGCAGGCTTCATAACCTCTGATCCCCTTTCAAAATTCCAATTTATTTAGTTCCGCCCATTGTTTTCTCGTTTAGGACACACGCTTTTTATTACTTGGGGACCATACGCCGCTTTTCATGGAATGGCACGTAAGTGTCACATTGAAGGTTCCATGATAACCGCCGTATGAACACATCTGCGGATGTTTCTAAATTCAAAAAATTACTATTTCACGTTTAAATGTTGAATTCTGCTTAAGCCGGTGCTAGGGGGCGTGGACGGTAACTAGCACTTTCCAGTACCGTTCATGAACAGGCTCAATCAAACCGAGCCTGCAACTTTTTCAATTTTGCCGTGTTGGGCTTTCTTTAGGGATTCTGTATTTATCTATTTTTTTTCAATATGAAATATTATAAATTGATCTCCAAAATTTTTAGAACGGTCTGTATCAATTTCGGGATAATACGATGATTTTGTAGAACTTCTTACTTAACTGTCAAATATAATTTAAAATGTTTTCTTAGAATCGTCTTCAAGAAGTCTTATTTATAAATATGTATAAGTAAATACTTTAGTTTTGAGTCAATTGCAGGGAGATCTTGATATCCGTTAAGAACACAAGACACTCCTTTAAGATACCTACGTTTATGAATGCCACTCTTGCATTTAACAAACAGGACATTGTATTGTACTGTTTATCAATTGTGAACATTTAATATTGTTGCGACAACATAGGTTGTTTAATTAATCAAATATACACTAAACTTCATTTAAAAAAGCGTTTAATATTTTGCTCCAGAAAAGTTTTGTTCACTGGACTTGTGGTCGACCTAATTTTAACAATACCTTAAGGTGGCAACGGAGTCATAACTTTAAATACATAAAAAGAGATTTTCTGCGAAGTAGATTTATTAATCGTTTCTGAATACATTCATGATTTAATTTTGGAAGCAGTTAGTCTAGAAACTATGTTTTTAAACGTTTTAAAACGATACCTTTAACATTTTTATCTGCTATGCGCGTAACCTGTCAATTATAACGCGCCGCCCCCTATTGAGGCAACAATGAGGGAATCGGTAGTTCCATATAGCCATGAATTACAGGTGTATTTGTTATTAGTCGATACAACCCGTAATACATGTATTATAAAAATACTGTTCATCTTTTATGAATATTTTAACGTTATATCGTCTACCATTTAAGTAGCCATTTTATAAATTAAGAAATTGTCGGCCAAGATGTTACAAAAAATTAGCATAGCGCTAAATCAGATGGTTAAAACAATGTAGCTGTCTTTTTATAATGTGTGAAATAATTATTTATTTATCCTGTAATCTGATAGACATTATATTCAGTTATTAACTTGAGTACGGATTCAAGAGCTTGCTTTACATTCAACCTAGTTTTATAACAATGTCAAAAGTAACAGACAACATTTTTTATGTGATCGCCTAGATATGAAAGGTGGTCTGGTGTCTTTTACAAATTTCTAAAATATTTTTACGATGTTCTTCAGATGATTTGTTCTTTATGAATCAATAAAAACTATATCAAAATATACTTTTAGTGAACCCTTTGAATATATATATAATCACCAGTAAATCGAGCACAATTTATTGTATGTCCCAGAAGAAACTGAATCTATGTATGCCGTGCATAGATAAAATTCGGGATGATAAAAGTCAAGAACGTCAGATCATATTGATCAAGAAATACTTTTAATTGTGTCAAGCATTTATATGAACTGATTGGACAAAAATATATAACACCCCGTACTTATTTGTACAACGTACTATAATTTGACTCAATTCTGTCTCAAATTATACCGATAATCACTTGACATGTGCGACAGAATACCAAACGGACAGTAAACAAGTAAAGATTTGAAGA